GAGCTAAAGATCATAGAAGATATTTATAATGCAAACAATATGGCGATCCTTTAAAAAAAAAAAAAAAAAAATATTAGGCAAGTAGATGGAGCTAATGATCATAGGAGATATTCATACTGCAAACAATACGGCGATCATATAAAACAAAATACCGTATTATGTCAGTAGATGGAGCTAATGATCATAGGAGATATTCATGCTGTAATATCTACAACGATCATTTGTTGTCCTGCAGTCATCCGCATGGATTTTTGTATTCATAGACCAAGCGTTTTTTTCTATACTACATATAAAGGATATCGCGATAACCTCGCCATAGTCTATAGCGGCAGCATAAAGCAGAGATCACCGACATTCTCGTTCGTTTCCTTACTTCTTGTGTGAATAGTCCTTTTATTTTTTAAAAGAATGAGAAGCTTGAAATTGCAATCTGCTGAAACCTAAACTGCGGACTAATCCGTCTCTGGGAATAGAATGCGTCTGTGCGGGGTGGAGGAATCGAATAACAGAGCTAATTGGTCTTGGCGTGGCGAACTGTGTTTATTGTGATATCGCCATGATACGGTGTAATTACGGCGTGACAGTCCTGACAATAAACGGTTACATAACTAATGGGAGACGTATGAGGATTCCGATTCTATCACCCAGCGAGGCGCTGAAATCATACAAGCCTCCCTCAAAATAACGGAGGAGGCGGATACATTGAATACATCGCAGCAGTGAAGAACCTCAATGGGATTGAACAGGAAGTCTCATTTATTTTTTACAGTCTTTTTTTTTTTCCCTTGGAGGACTATGTACCTGTAGCCATTTATCTCATCTTCCTATATGATGTGGAAGGCTATCTAGGAGGTTGGACGGGCTGACAACGCATCTAGCAAGGAGTCAGCTGCATTAATAGACGGTGGCACATCTTATCTGACCACACAGCTAGCCTTCCACACAACATAGGAAGATGGGACAAAGTACTACATGTACTTGGTGATCTGGGGGACCCTCCACAGCTGTCCAACAATGCAACAGGCAAGGAGATGGTGCTTATCTCCAGCTCCAAGCACTTGTCAGAAACGAGCGCCATCAAGGCATGTCAGACTCACATCCCTCTGCATTCCTCTTGCCAGTACTCGTCTCGGGAAAGTGCTTGGAGACGGAGATAAGAGCCAGCTATCCATGCAGTTGTCTCCTTGCTAGCTATGTTGATGGACAACCAAGGCGATGGGACGCATCTTATCTGACCACACAGCCAGCCTTCCACACAACATAGGAAGGTGGGACAAAGTACTACATGTATTTGGTGCTCTGGGGGACCCTCCATAGCTGTCCCACTACGCAACTGGCAAGGAGACGGTGCTTATCTCCTTGCTGGTTGCTTTGATGGACAACAACGCCCCTAGCAAGGAGACAGCTGCATTAATAGACGGTGGTTATCTCCAGCTCCAGGCACTTGCCAGAGACGAGTGCCAGTAAGGCATGTCAGACTCACATCCCTTTGCATTCCTCTGCCAGCACTCGTCTCGGGAAAGTGCTTGGAGATGGAAGATAGAAGCCAGCTAACAATGCAGCTGTCTCCTTGCTGGTTGCTTTGATGGACAACAACGCACCTAGCAAGGAGACGGCTGCATTAATAGACGGTGCTTATATCCAGCTCCAAGCATTTGCCAGAAACGAGCGCCATCAAGGCATGTCAGACTTGCATCCCTTTGCATTCCTCTTGCCCAGTACTCGTCTCGGGAAAGTGCTTGGAGATGGAGATAGAAGCCAGCTAACAATGCAGCTGTCTCCTTGCTGGTTGCTTTGATGGACAACAACGCACCTAGCAAGGAGACGGCTGCATTAATAGACGGTGCTTATATCCAGCTCCAAGCATTTGCCAGAAACGAGCGCCATCAAGGCATGTCAGACTCGCATCCCTCTGCATTCCTCTTGCCAGTACTCGTCTTAGGAAAGTGCTTGGAGACGGAGATAAGAGCCAGCTATCCATGCAGTTGTCTCCTTGCTAGCTACGTTGATGGACATCCATGGTGATGGGATGCATCTTATCTGACCACACAGCTAGCCTTCCACACAACATAGGAAGATGGGACAAAGTACTACATGTACTTGGTGCTCTGGGGGACCCTCCACAGCTGTCCCACAATGCAACTGGCAAGGAGACGGTGCTTATCTCCAGCTCCAAGCATTTGCCAGAAACGAGCGCCATCAAGGCATGTCAGACTTGCATCCCTTTGCATTCCTCTTGCCAGCACTCATCACGGGAAAGTGTTTGAAGATGGAGATAGAAGCCAGCTAACAATGCAGCTGTCTCCTTGCTGGTTGCTTTGATGGACAACAACGCACCTAGCAAGGAGACGGCTGCATTAATAGACGGTGGTTATCTCCAGCTCCAGGCACTTGCCAGAAACGAGCGCCATCAAGGCATGTCAGACTCGCATCCCTCTGCATTCCTCTTGCCAGTACTCGTCTTAGGAAAGTGCTTGGAGACGGAGATAAGAGCCAGCTATCCATGCAGTTGTCTCCTTGCTAGCTACGTTGATGGACATTCCATGGTGATGGGATGCATCTTATCTGACCACACAGCTAGCCTTCCACACAACATAGGAAGATGGGACAAAGTACTACATGTACTTGGTGCTCTGGGGGACCCTCCACAGCTGTCCCACAATGCAACTGGCAAGGAGACGGTGCTTATCTCCAGCTCCAAGCATTTGCCAGAAACGAGCGCCATCAAGGCCATGTCAGACTTGCATCCCTTTGCATTCCTCTTGCCAGCACTCATCACGGGAAAGTGTTTGAAGATGGAGATAGAAGCCAGCTAACAATGCAGCTGTCTCCTTGCTGGTTGCTTTGATGGACAACAACGCACCTAGCAAGGAGACGGCTGCATTAATAGACGGTGGTTATCTCCAGCTCCAGGCACTTGCCAGAAACGAGCGCCATCAAGGCATGTCAGACTCACATCCCTCTGCATTCCTCTTGCCAGTACTCATCTTGGGAAAGTGCTTGGAGACGGAGATAAGAGCCAGCTATCCATGCAGTTGTCTCCTTGCTAGCTACGTTGATGGACATCCATGGCGATGGGACGCATCTTATCTGACCACACAGCCAGCCTTCCACACAACATAGGAAGATGGGACAAAGTACTACATGTACTTGGTGCTCTGGGGGACCCTCCACAGCTGCCCCACAACGCAGCTAGGTGAGTTTTTTATGCCTTCCAGTTCATTTTTTCTCCCCTCTCTTTTTCTTTAATTTAAATAGGGACATGTGCGTTCCCAGGGGTGCCGCTCTTTGACATTTGTTCGGAATGGTGCCTCCACCAGCGAATGCGCCGAGGTGATGCAGTACCATTGCATTTTGGTGCGGCATCATTTTTTAAAATTAGAGCTGGTGTGTTTTGTTTTTTTTACGCTTTTCCCACACATAGGCAGCCCCTTGAAATGAACGGGCCGCTAAAAACGCAACACGCAGGAACCTAAAGCCTAAACATGCCGAAAAAGCGCACACTCTCCGTCGCACCTTCATGGCCTAACGCATTGAGAGCCAAAAAATAAACATTCCTCTGAAAACTGGTATAATTTTCACCCCAGGACTTGCTGTTTACAGCTTCCAATGTTGCCGGTTCCTGCTGTCTCGGTGCTGCTTCCCTGAACTTCCAGTATTTACAGGAAAGAGTTAACAGTGGACAGTGCAGTCTGCAACTGGTCTGTTAGCTTGGAGAAGGGACGGGGGTGGAGGAGGGAGGAGCGGGGGGGGGGGTGCCTTGCTAGCCGAGGTTATGGGGTTGTGTGTTTCTATTGATGCACGCAGTGTAGGGAGACACAAGTCTAGGGTGGCTGCTCTGCTCCTGGTGGTGTCGTGCCAGTGTAGTGTGGGTGGGGTCTTAAGAAGAAGTCAGAGGTCATTCCCATGTAGTGTGATGGATACATTGTAACTGGTTATGGTACGACTGACCATTTGGAAACTTGGGCACTGCCCGAGGGCCCAGGGTCAGTAGGGGGCCCGATGAGATGCCCCTGGTACCTTTTTCATAGGCTTTTTTGAGTTTGGGCAAGGACACAGTGGCCCCATGAGTTGTCAGTCTGCCCCTGCTAAAGACAACCATTCAAATATGTGCAACGTAAAGTCCAAAGGTTGCTACTTTGGTCCAACTTTCATGCGACTTGAGTGCCATAGACTGCAATGTAAACCCTAAAAAGTCGCAAGAAAGTCAGATCTTAATGTTATCAATGCGAAAGTTGTGCAGCAGTCAGCAGCCAAAGTCGCGTTCAAGTCGCACTTGTCTAAAGTCGCATCAAAGCCGCAATGGAAATCGCACGAGCGTGAAAGTAGCCTTGAGATCTTGAGTGAAAGCATTGATACATAGACCCCTAAATGGGAAAGATTTGTGATCACCACAAAGATCACTTGCTGCTTAAGGCCCCATTCACACTTTGCGTCTCTTAAACGTGCGACAAAACGCACAAAAAACACCCTGCGAATGTGCATTGTGCTTAATTGTTAATGGCGCCCCAAACGCGGTCAGCAGATGCATGTTTCGTCATGCGGCAAACTCTCCAAAGAGCTTCTGTGGTGCGATTTTGACAAGCATAGGACATTCTTCGTTAGCCATGCAAGATGCAAAAAACCGCAAGCGGAAATGCGCGTTCCTGCTATGGGAAGTGTGAATGTTGTGTGACCTAAAAAAAATGGGTACATTGATGCATACACCCCCAATTGTAAAAGGTCGTATGATGTTGAGTGAAATCATTGATACATGGAGTAGAGTTGTACACCAGGACTTGAAATTTCCACTCGCCTGCTCGCCAATGGTGAGTGGAAATTATGGTGGGGGCAGGGGAAGACTGACCATTTGGAAACTCGGGCATTGCCCAAGGGCATGGGGTCAGTAGGGGGCCCCATGAGATGCCCCTGGTACCTTTTTCATAGGCTTTTTTTGAGTTTGGGCAAGGACACAGGGGCCCCATGAACCCCTATTGCCTGGGGGCCCCATGAGTTGTCAGTCCGCCCCTGGGTGGGGGCGAGTGTGTCCCCCAGGGCCGTCTTGCTGAGCAGGCTCAGAGCTCAGGCTGGATCTGTCATTGGCACTGGGAGTCGTCAGACTGCTCAATAGCTGAGCTCAGTGAAAGCAAAGCAAGGAGTGTGTGCTGTGCTCTCTGCCTCCCCCTACAGTGCAGTACCCGGCTCTGTGAGTGAACAACGAAGTACTGCAACCTTTTATGGGGGGGGTGTGTATGTGTACATGTGTGTGTTTGTGTGTGTCTGTGTATGCATGTACAATTGTACATGTGTCTGTGTGCATGTACATGTGTGTATCTGTACATGTGTCTGTATGTATGTACATGTATGTGTCTGTGTGTGTGTATGTACATGTGTGTGTGTGTTTGTGTGTATGTACGTACACGTGTCTGTGTGTACATGTGTCTGTGTGTACATGTGTCTGTGTACGTATGTACATGTATCTGTGTGTACATGTGTCTGTGTGTATGTACATGTGTCTGTGCGTGTGTATTTCTGTGTATGTACATGTATCTGTGTGTATGCGTGTCTATACGTGCCTGTGTGTGTATACATGTGTCTGTGTATGTGTGTACATGTGTCTGTATGTGTGTGTGTGTATACATGTGTCTGTATGTGTGTGTGTGTGTATGTACATGTGTCTGTGTGTGTGTACATGTGTCTCTGTGGTGTGTGTACATGTTTCTGTGTGTGTATGTGTGTGTTTGTACATGTTTTTTTTAACTGTGTGTTTGTACATGTTTTCTGTGGATTCGTGTGTGTAATTTCTATGTTTCTGTGTGTGTATGTGTGTATTTTTGGATGTTATTTACATGTCTGTGTGTGTGTATTTCAGGTGTCTCTGTTTGTTGTGGAAGTGAATTTGTTGGTGGCAAGTAACTCTAAGGCCTAAGGCTAGTAGCTCAGGACTTGAAATTCTGACAACGGAAAAAACACATGTTTTATTTCGGTTCGGATTCGTTTGTTAATAATTTCTATTCGTCGTATTCATTATGTTGGAATGATTCATTCTCAGAATTAATTTTGTATATTCCCCTTGTTCCGGATCCATTTGTATTTTTGGATGTTATTTCAGAAGATTGCTGCTATTCCTTTTATCGTGTTTGTTCATCCTCATTTCAGAAGATTACTTATGCACTCTGTTTGGGTTGGATGGAAGTGAACCCTCACCTAACAGAATCTCTCAATCATCCCCCCCAGCCACTTCCTACTGTACGATCAGAACAAAATGAACCACTGGACCCCCCTCAGCGCTGAGCAGGTATATACAACTAGTTAGTCTGGCTGACAAAAGACAAAAGTCCATCCAGTTAAAAAAAAAAATATATATATAATCCTATACCCACAGTTGATCCAGAGGAAAGCAAAAAAACCCAGCAAAGCACGATCCAATTTGCTCCTGCAGGGGAAAAAATTCCTTCCTGATCCCCAATCGGATATTCCCTGGATCAACTTTACCTATAAATGTTATATCCAGTTATATTCTGTGTATCTAAGAAAGAATCCTAGTAAAGGTTTTCCCCTCTTCATGACCAGAGCATTTTTTTTTTTGCTATTCAGCACTGCACTACTTTAACTGGCAATTGCGTGGCCAGGCAACACTGTACCCAAATAAAAATTTATATCAATTTTTTCTTCACATAAATAGGCCCCTTTCACCTGGGCGTTCCATACGTCCGTTTTTCATCTGTCCATTGATGAAAAACAGACACCCATGTATTTCTATGGACTAGCGGAAGATCATCTGTTTACGTCCGTTAACATCCGTTTTTTTGAACGGAAGAAAACACTATTTTTCTTCTGTTTAAAAAAACGGATGTAAACCGGACAAAAACGAATGTAAACCGGATGTGAACTGATGAAAAACTGATGTGAACTGATTTGTTTTTTTTCTTGGAAAATACGTGACTGAACGGATGGAAAAAACGGAACGCCGTGTGAAAGGGGCCTATTTTTCTTCTGTTAAAAAAAAACGGAACAAATGGAAAACGGAACAAAAAAAAAGACGGAAAATGGACAAAAAAAGATGGAAAGCAGACAAAAAAAAAAACGGATGTAAACTGATAAACAAAAGATGGTAAACTGATGTCAACTAATCCATTTTTTTTCTTGGAAAAAACGTGGCTGAACTGATGAGAAAAACGGAATGCCATGTAATAGGGGCCTATTTTTCTTCTGTTAAAAATATGTAATGGGCAGAAAACGGATAAAAAAAAAAGATGGAAAATGGCCAAAAAAAAGGACGGAAAATGGACAAAAAAGGGACGGAAAACGGACAAAAAAACGGACAAAAAAAAGACAGGAAATGGACAAAAAAAGATGGAAAACAGACAAAAAGAAAGATGGAAAATGGACAAAAAAAGGACGAAAAACTAACAAAAAAAGGACGGAAAAAAGGGGACAAAAAAAAAAGATGGAAAAGTAATAAAAAATGGATGGAAAATGGATTTAAACTGATAAAAAACGGATGGTAAGCTGATGTGAACTGATCCATTTTTTTTCTTGGAAAAAACGTGGCTGAACTGATAAAAAAAACAGAATGCCATGTTATAGGGGCCTATTTCTCTTCTGTTAAAAATATGTAACGGGTGGAAAACGGACAAAAAAAAGGACAGAAAATGGACAAAAAAGGAACGGAAAACAGATAAAAAAGACAAAAAAGGACAGAAAACGGAATAAGGATGGAAAACAAAAAAAGGGATGTAAACTGATAAAATCAATTATTTTTCTTGTAAAAAACATGACAGGAAATGGACAAAAAAAGATGGAAAACGGACAAAAAGAAAGATGGAAAACGGACAAAAAAAGGATGGAAAACTAACAAAAAAAAAGTACGGAAAACTAACAAAAAAAGTATGGAAAAAAGGGACAAAAAAAGATGGAAAACAAAAAAAGGATGGAAAACAATCAAAAAAAAAAAACGGACAGAAAATGAACAAAGAAAAAAAAACAGGAAATAGACAAAAAAAGGGATGGGAAATGGACAAAAAAGGACAAAAAGATGGACAAAAAAAAGACAGGAAATGGACAAAAAAAGGACGGAAAACGGACAAAGAAAAGGACAGAAAAAAGAGACAAAAAAAGATGGAAAACTGACAAAAAAAGGATGGAAAACGATAAAAAAAAACAGACTGAAACAGATGGTAAACTGATGTGAACAGATCCATTTATTTCTTGGATAAAACATGGTTGAACTGATGAAAAAAAAGGACAGAAAATTGAATAATAAAACGGACAAAAAAAAGGATGGAAAACAGACAAAAAAAGATAGGAAATGGACAAAAAAAGACGGAAAACGGACAAAAAAAGGGATGTAAACTGATAACAAACGGATGGTAAACTGAAACTGATCCATTTTTTTTTCTTGGAAGAAACGGAACTGAACTGATGAAAAAAACAGAATGCCATGTTATATGGGCCTATTTCTCTTCTGTTAAAAAAATGTAACGGGCGGAAAACGGATAAAAAAAAATAAGACTGAAAATGGACAAAAAAAAAAGGAACGGGAAACAGACAAAAAAGGACAGAAAATGGACAAAGGATAGAAAACGAGCAAAAAAAGGGAAGTAAACTGATAAAATCCATTATTTTTCTTGTAAAAAACGTGACAGGAAATGGACAAAAAAAGATGGAAAACGGACAAAAAAAGTACGGAAAAAACGGACAAAAAAAGATGGAAAACTAACAAAAAAAAGATGGAAAACGATAAAACAAAATGACAGAAAATGAACAAAGAAAAAAAAACAGAAAATAGACAAAAAAAGGGACAGAAAACAGACAAAAAAAGGACAAAAAAATGGACAAAAAAAAGACAGGGAATAGACAAAAAAAGACGGAAAACGGACAAAAAAAGGACGGAAAAAAGAGACAAAAAAAGATGGAAAACTGACAAAAAAAGGATGGAAAACGATAAAAAAAAATGGACGGAAACTGCTAAAAAAACGGATGGTAAACTGCTAAAAAAACGGGATGGCAAACTGATGTGAACTGGTCCATTTTTTTTTCTTGGAAGAAACGTAACTGAACTGATGAAAAAAACAGAATGCCATGTTATAGGGGCCGATTTTTCTTCTGTTAAAAAAATGTAACAGGCGGAAAACGGACAAAAAAAGCACTGAAAATGGACAAAAAAAAGGATGGAAAACAGACAAAAAAGGGACGGAAAACAAACTAAAAAAGGATAGAAAACGGACAAAAAAGGATTGAAAATGGACAAAAAAAGGATTGAAAACGGACAAAAAAAGGATTGAAAACGGACAAAAAAAGGGATGTAAACTGATAAAATCCATTATTTTTCTTGTAAAAAACGTGACTGAGCACGGGTTCACACTAATGCGCGTGCAGAATTTGCAGCGTTTTCTGTGTGAATTCCGCGTCGCATCACAATCGCACCCTGTTCATGTGAACCGCTGCGGGTGTGTGTATGTTAATTTAAGAACACCCCAAAATCGGTCCACAAAACGCGGTGCGATGTGCAGAATCGAATCGCATAGGTGTGAATACCCATGCGATCCGATTCTAGTGAGGACCCAATAAAGGGTCCTGCACCTTTTTGGTGCGGATGCGGTGCTATTGGAGCCATACAAAATGTCCGACTCCAATCGCACCGCACACAAATCACGTGATCTGCACAGGAATGCGGTTCCTGAGCGAATCACATGCGATATACTGCACCGCATGAGTGTGAACCCGGGCTGAACTGATGAAAAAAACGGAACGCCTGCGTGAAAGGGGCCTTAGAGCTTTCTTTTGGTGATATTTGCTCACCGCTGGGTTTTTATTATATAAAAATGAGAAAACAAAAAACATTTTCTACTTTGTGCTATAAAATATATTGAATATAAATATACATTTTTTTTATTATATAAATATTAAAAAAAGCAAAATTTAAAAAAATATATATATTTTCAGTTTTTTTCTTATAAAAACATATCCAAAAAAAAAATCTAACTTCTTCATAAATTTAGGCCAAAATGTATTTTTATATGTCTTTGGTAAAAAAAAAAACAAAGCAAAAAAAAAACAAAAAAAAACAAAATCCCATGAAGTGTATATTGATTGCTGTGTTATATCGTCTACAAACTATGAGATGTATACTGGAGTTTACGCGATACTAGTAGTGGCGATGATCAGCGACTTATAGTGTGACTGTGATAGTGTGGCGGGCAATCTGGCACTAACAGACAGTGTCTGGGAGGGACCCTAAGTATCTGGTCATACTGGATGTGAATTGGCATGTGATTTGCATGCCATGTGACTTGCAAATCGCATGGCAAGTCGCACCCTATTGTCCGCAATTACAGCGGTCATATCGGCGCGGTTACGACTTGGTCGGAGCCGCACTGATTTCTAAAGTACTACATGCGCTACTTTTGGTGCGATTTGCACAGCCATCTGTGTCAGATGTCTTGCAAATCGCACATGAAATCGGCGTGTCATCTGACTTCTCTGTAAGTCGCATGATTTCAAAGTCGGGTTGGGGGTAACTAACTGACATTACTAGCGACACTAATACAGTGATCATACTGTACACTGTACCAAGGGCGGACTGACAACTCATGGGGCCCCCGGGCAATAGGGGATCATGGGGCCCCTGTGTCCTTGCCCAAACTACAAAAAGCCTATGAAAAAGGTACCAGGGGCATCTCATGGGGCCCCCTACTGAACCCGAGCCCTCGGGCAGTGCCTGAGTTTCCAAATGGTTAGTCCGCCCCTGCACTGTACTAATGGCACTGGCTGGGAAGGGGTTAACATCTCGGGGCAATCAAGGGGTTAACTGTGTGGCTAACAATGATGTAATGTGTGCTGCTTTTCTCAAGTCTAGGTTCACACCTATGCAGGTTGCGTTTGAGGCGTTTCTGTATTGCGTTTTTGCTGTGTTTTTTGCATTTTTTCTTCTTTTGCGTTTTTTTTTTTTCTTGTTGCTAGGCAGATTTAAAATGCAAAACACATCAAAAATGCAATACATGCTTTTCTGCAGCGTTCCCGTTGAAGTCTATAGAACCAAAAACGCAATATTTTGCGTTCAAAAAAGTCCCTGACCCTTTAGAAAAAACGCACCGGGTGAAAACGCAGAGATGTGAACCTGTCACATAGGGAATCGTGTTAAATGGTCTGTAATGCGTTTCTGCAAAACGCTGCAGAAAACGCTTAGGTGTGAACCCGGGGTAACAGATCTGGCTGCTTTTTATCACAGAACTCCCATTGATTTCAGGGAGAAGAAACAGCCAGATCAGTGTTCTGTGTGTTTGCAAGCACAGAATCCTGCGCTGTGATTGGCCACAGCTAATCAGCAGGTTGTACAGCTATAATCATTGGCTGTAAGCTGCTCTCCAATCACTGCACGGATCAGCAGGGGGGGCGCATGCATCCGAGAACAATTGCCTTGCCTGCAGCTGCCACGCGTCCAGCAGTAAAAGTGCCGTGGGCAGGGGTGGACTGACAACTCATGGGGCCCCTGGGCAATAGGGGATCATGGGGCCCCTGTGTCCTTGCCCACACACACAAAGCACACCCAAAAAAGCCTATAAAAGGTACAGGGCATTTCTTGGGGCCCCCTACTGACCCCGGGCCCTCGGGCAGTGCCAGAGTTTCCAAATGGTCAGTCCACCCCTGCACTGTACTAATGGCACTGGCTGGGAAGGGGTTAACATCTCGGGGCAATCAAGGGGTTAACTGTGTGGCTAAAAATGATGTAATATGTGCTGCTTTTCTCGCATGATCAGTCCGCCCCTGGCCATGGATGGTGAATTTTAGATTCATTCGTTACATTACGATTCGAGATCTGATCTCCATCCAACCCAAACTCCCTAAGTAGGAATCATCGTCATCTTTTTACGCCTTTTCCTGTATTTATTACAAATTGTATCTATTTCATATTTAGTGTGAAAAATGTTAATGCGACAATAAAAAGCAAATGGATTCGAATCGATTCGGATCGTTCGTCGAGCCGTTGCATTACTCCGGATGCTCGGATGAAAAGAATGAACGAGAATGAATTCCTTGTTTTGCTTCTGATTTATTTCGCATTCGTTGAAATCCGTTACCATTTGTGATTCGGATACATCCGAAAAACGAAAATTCGTGTCTGAATTTTCGGTTCTTCTCAAAACGAATCGCACGCGTCTAACAAGGACTCCTAAAGAACAATGCTGGGTGATCTCGAGTGAAAGCATTGATACATATTCGACCACTGACCAGGGGCGAACTGACCATTTGGAAACTCGGGCACTGCCTGAGGGCCCGGGGTCAGTAGGGGGCCCCATGAGATGCCCCATGTACCTTTTTCATAGGCTTTTTTGAGTTTGGGCAAGGGGCCCCATGATCCCCTATTGCCCGGGGGCCCCATGAGTTGTCAGTCCGCCCCTGCCACTGACACAAAAAAAAAAAGACGCGGGCGCTCCTAGCGCACTATTGTCACGCACAGGGCCGCCTAGTCAAGTGAACGTGGAAATGCGCGAAAAAAATTGCAATCGGGAAGGCGCGTTTCGTTCGTTGCCTTCAAATAGATGCGTTCCTTCGGAATTCGGCGTCGTGTGAATTTCGCATGGATGGTGGCGGCTTCCTTTTCCGCGGTTCTGACCCTTTAAGCTCTTGGGGGAGGAGAAGGAGGGAACGAAGGGCTGAGGGAATGGGGGAAAAAATAGAGGGGAGATTCAGCACGAGCAACTGCAGCCTTCCACTGCTCTCAGCATTAGCACCGCTGAGACACATCCCTGCGGCAGAACCACCTCTGGAAAGACCGAAGGAATCAGATAAAGAGAATTGTCAGCAGGGGATAGACATGAGCTGAGCAGAATTCCGGAGAACCAGAGGAAGGGAAAGGATCAGAAACCTGGAGGATGGACAGGGACACGGGCAGGCAGAGGAGGCGATGATGCACATTGCTGGCTGATGTGTGCAGCGGTTGGGTAGGAACGAGGAAGGTGCAAGGAGGGGGCTGTGTGCAGTGCTGATGTGAGGAGGGGTGTCAGCAGCACAGAGACGTATGTGAACAGAATAAGAGGGGACCAGATACACAGGGAGGGGAAGGCGATTGTACCATTGCTAGGTGGCTGGTCTCTGCAGAGCAAGGCGAAGATAGGCAGAGGGTGAGGAACAGGACAAGGAGGTGGTGGGAAGCCAAAAAGGGGGTGAGGGACAGTACTGAGGAGCTAAAAAAAAAGGGGGTGAGGAACCGTGCTGGGGAGCCAAAAAAAGGGTGAGGAACCGTGCTGGGGAGCCAAAAAAGGGGTGAGGGACAGTACTGAGGAGCTAAAAAAAAGGGGGTGAGGAACTGTGCTGGGGAGCCAAAAAAAGGAGTGAGGAACAGTGCTGGGGAGCAAAAAAAAAAGGGTGAGGAACTGTCCAAGGAGGTGGTGGGAATCCAGATAAAAGGGGTGAAGAACAGCTCTGGGGAGCCAAAAAAAAGGGTGAAGAACTGTCCAAGGAGGTGGTGGGAATCCAGGTAAAAGGGGTGAGGAGCAGCCCTGGGAGAGCCAAAAAAAAAGGGGTGAGGAACTGTCCAAGGAGGTGGTGGGGATCCAGATAAAAGGGTGAGGAGCAGCCCTGGGGAGCCAGAAAAAGGGGGTGAGGAACTGTCCAAAGAGGTGGTGGGGATCCAGATAAAAAGGTTGAGGAACAGTGCTATGGAGCCAAAAAGGTGAGGAACTGTCCAAGGAGGTGGTGGTGAGCCAGAAACAAGGGGTGCAGAAGAGTGCAAGGAAGTGGTGGTGAGCCCCCAAAAACAGGGGTGAGGAACCGTGCAAGGAATTGGTGGGTGGCCAAGGAAAAAACAAAAAGGGTGAAGGCTACTAGTAGACGTGTTAGCAGAGAAGAGGTGGGAAAGGATGCAAAGACGGCAATAAAGACAGGAAATCGGCAGGCTTGGCTTAAAAAAAAAATATATACATAGCAAAAATACAAAAATAATGGGTGAGAGGGAACGGATGATGGTCCTGGAGGGCTGACATTGGAAGTGAGCAAAAGTATGTGACGGAGAGTAGTGCGAGACAAGGGAACGGATTGGAAGGTGGGGAAGAGACGGGAGGAATGGTGAAGCCTGCAGACAGAGAGAGGTGATGTAAATACCTGGAGGGAGGGAGGGAGCGAAGAAAAGAAGGAAGGCGCGAGAGAGAGAGAGAGAGAGAGAGGACCAGCTCCTGCTGCAGAATGATGGGGAACTCTCCGCACAAACAGAGGAGCAAAAAGCATCACAGAATGCAGCCGGCAACAGGTACCAGTCTCCATAATCCCCCCCCCATCCCTACTCCCACCCCCACCCCTACACTCACATTAGGATGCCAAATATGTTACGTTGGCTCATGGGCTCTGGCTTGCTGCTGGGAGGGTTTTGCACATCATGTTGGAAGGTGGTAAGAGGGACCCTGCAGTGTGTTCTGGTTACTAAGCTATTGTGCTGCTGCATTATTGATAATGGAATGTCGTGTTGTTGCGCCACCCGGTGGTAAAAACCTGGGCTGGGTTGCCTTGGTGACTGGACTCCAGGGCACATAGGTACATGGAGCCATGGTGTTGGGCTTGGAAGGCCACCAAGTCAATGTGTTGGTGCTATGGCTCGGCCTACGAGTGAGGGTAGGTGGGTATTGTTTGATAGCTCATAGACACAAGAACTTGTTTTACTGGTGGACCCAAGAGCTCGTTACTGGTGGACACTAGGGCTTGTTCTAACAGTGGACCCTAGGGCTCCTTACGCCAGTGGACCTTAGGGCTTGTTATACCAGTGGACCCAAGAGCTCATTACACAGGTGGACACTAGGGCTTGTTCTAACAGTGGACCCTAGGGCTCCTTACGCCAGTGGACCTTAGGGCTTGTTATACTGGTGGACCCAAGAGCTCATTACACAGGTGGACACTAGGGTTTGTTCTAACAGTGGACCCTAGGACTCCTTACGCCAGTGGACCTTAGGGCTTGTTATACCGATGGACCCAAGAGCTCGTTACACAGGTGGACACTAGGGTTTGTTCTAACAGTGGACCCTGGGGCTCCTTATGCCAGTGGACCTTAGGGCTTGTTATATACCGATGGACCCAAGAGCTCGTTACACAGGTGGACACTAGGGTTTGTTCTAACAGTGGACTCTAGGGCTCCTTATGCCAGTGGACCTTAGGGCTTGTTATACCGGTGGACCCAAGAGCTCGTTACACAGGTGGACACTAGGGCTTGTTCTAACAGTGGACCCTAGGGCTCCTTACGCCAGTGGACCTTAGGGCTTGTTATAACGGTGGACCCAAGAGCTCGTTACACAGGTGGACACTAGGGTTTGTTCTAACAGTGGACCCTAGGGCTCCTTACGCCAGTGGACCTTAGGGCTTGTTATACCGATGGACCCAAGAGCTCGTTACACAGGTGGACACTAGGGCTTGTTCTAACAATGGACCCTAGGGCTCCTTACGCCAGTGAACCTTAGGGCTTGTTGTAACGGTGGACCCAACAGCTCATTACACAGGTGGACACTAGGGTTTGTTCTAACAATGGACCCTGGGGCTCCTTACGCCAGTGGACCTTAGGGCTTGTTATACCGATGGACCCAAGAGCTCATTACACAGGTGGACACTAGGGTTTGTTCTAACAATGGACCCTAGGGCTCCTTACGCCAGTGGACCTTAGGGCTTGTTATACCGGTGGACCCAAGAGCTCATTACACCAGTGGCCCCCAGGGCTTGTTACACTGGTGGACCCAATAGCTTGCTACACCAGTGGACTCTAAAGTTCATAACACTGGTGGACCCTAAATTTCGATTCACCAGGGGACCCAAGAGCTCATGACAATGGAGAATCCTAGAGCTCATTACACTTGTGAACCCAAGAGCTTGTTGTCGCAGTGGACCCTTGAGCACATTATACTGGTAGAATCAAGAGCTCATTACTCCGATAGACCCAAGAGCTCATTACTCCGATAGACCCAAGAGCTCATTACTCCGATAGACCCAAGAGCTCATTACTCCGATAGACCCAAGAGCTCATTACTCCGATGGACCCAATAGTTTGTTACACTGGTGGACCCTAGAGATCATTACACTGGTGGACCCAATAGCTTGCTACGCTGGTGAATCCTAGAGCTTATTATATCAGTGGGCCCAAGAGCTCATAACACCGGTGAACACAACAGCTCATTATATTGGTGAACCCAATAGCTGGTTGCAGCGGTGGAGCCAAGTGCTCATTACTCTTGTGGACCCAATAGTTTGTTACAATGGTGGATCCTAGAGATCATTAAATTGGTAGACCCTAGGGCTGGTTACACTGGTGGACCCCAGAGCTCATTACACAGGTGAACCCTATAGGTCATTTACTCTGGTTGACCCATTAGCTTGTTACACAGGTGGACCCAAGAGCTTGCTACACCGGTGTGGGGTGACAATGGTACCTTTTTGACTTGTATTGGATTGGCAGCTACATAAATGTGCTTTTCCTTAGATTTATACTCTTTACAGGACTCAGCCGCTCAAAGCTCTCCTGTGATGATCATAGGAAATAGATACTTATTTACTATGATCGTCAGCTCCACCTAGTGGCCATAATGCAGTACTTTGCTGATTCACTCTATTCTATTTGAATGAATAACATTCGACCCATAGAGAAAATAGCCTAATAACATTCAATTTTGCCCCTGTTC